TTTCTTTTCCTCCAGACATAAGAAGTGCCCCCTTGTCCTCTTTGATGACCTCAGGGTGAATAGCTCTACATCGAGTTCACTATATGAACCACTGATGTATTTATACATGTTGATCATATCCCCCCTTAATCTCCTCTTCTAATCTTTCCTCATAGCTGTGCTCCTCCATGCCACATATCAGTTTGGCGCCTATAACCTATAAGCATGAATAGGTTGCCTATGTCCAGTACGATTAAGAGAAATTAATTCTGAGCTCCTCCATGCCTCTTATCAGTCTCTGTACTTTATCCAGTTCTCCAATGTTCTTTTTGTGTATTGGTAACCAAAACTGAACTGCATATTCCAGATGAGGTTTGGCTAATGATTTGTACAGGGTAAAATTATATCTCTCTCTCTAGAGTCTATACCTCTTTTAATACAAGAGAGGATTTTGCTCGCTTTAGAAGCTGCATCTTGGCATTGCATGCCATTATTAAGCTTGTGATCCACCAGAACTCCCAGATCCTTCTCCACAATTGATTCCCCCAGTTGTACTCCCCCTAGTATGTATGATGCATGCATATTCTTAGCCCCCAAGTGTATAACCTTACATTTATCAACATTAAACCTCATTTGCCACATAGTTGCCCAATTACACAGTGCACTGAGGTTGGCTTGTAAGTTGGAGACATCCTGTAAGGATGTTATTCCACTGCACAGCTTGGTATCATCTGCAAAGACTGCAATGGTGTTTTTAATCCCAGACCCTATATCGTTTATAAATATATTCAAAAGTAAGGGTCCCAACACTGAACCTTGAGGTACACCACTGACAACCCTAGACCATTCAGAGCATGAATCATTAACCACTACTCTCTGAATACCATCTTTTCTATCCATTTACATACAGATTTTTCCAAGCATGTAGACTTTACCTTACACATTTGCCGTGTATGGGGAACTGTGTCAAATGCTTTTGCAAAATCCAAGTATACAACGTCAACAGCCACCCCTCTGTCTAAGGTTTTGCTCACTTCCTCATAAAAAGAAATCAGATTTGTTTGACATCTTCTGTCTTTCATGAATCCATGCTGTCTGATGCTTAAAATATTTTTTTTTCCAGCAAGAACTCATCTATGTGGTCTTTTATTACACTCTCCAGTATCTTCCCAACTATAGAAGTTAAACTAACAGATCTATAATTGCTTGGTAAAGATTTTGACCCCTTTTTAAATATTGTCACCACATTGGCTTTTCGCCAATCCAGTGGTACTATGCCAGTCACTAAAGAGTCCCTAAAAATTGTAAACAATGTCTTAGAAATGACAGAGCTCAATTCTTTAAGGACCCATGGGTGTATGCCATCCTGTCCATATGCTATATTCACCTTTATTCTGTCTAAATATTTTTGGATCAAATAAGTTGTGAGCCAATGTGGATCATTTGGAGTTGTGTCAATACCATGCCCATGGACAAGAGCTCCCCCATGCTCCTTTGTATAGACAGAGCTGAAGAAGGTATATACCAGTTCCCTACCGTACTATAGCCAAAGGACAGCTACAGCGTAGTTGTCTGGTTCTGGGACGACCTCCATGGATGTAATTCCAGAACATGCCCCCTGCGCACTGCCGGTGATCGCTCTGTCCTACAGACACAGCTGATCACTTGATACAGTAAACGGCCAATCATGGCGGCCTTTTACCACGTGATCAGCTATGTCCAATGACACAGCAGATCTCTGGGTATATACAGTTGCCGGTTATCGGCAGTACTTTCCTCATGCTGTCACAGCGTGAGGAAAGTACTGCCGATAACCGGCAATTGTCAGAGAAGTGATCGGCGTTGCCCATCAGTGCCCAGCAGTACCACCTATTAGTGCAGCATCATCCGTGCCACCTATCAACAACTCCTGTCAGTACCCATCAGTGCTGCCTATCAGTGCAAGCCTCATCAACGCACATCAGGGAAGGAGAAAAATTATATGTTTGCAAAATTTTATAAAAGAAACAAAAAAAAGTTTGCTTTTTTTTTTGTTTATAGCACAAAAAATAAAACACCCAGCAGCTATTAAATAACACCAAAAGAAAGCTGTATTTGTGTGAAACAAATGATAAAAATGTCATATGGGTACAGTGTCGCATGACCGCGCAATTGTTATTCAAAGTGCGACAGCGCTGAAAGCTGAAAATTGGCCTGGGCACGAAGGGGGTATAAGTGCGCAGTAGGCAAGTGGTTAATAAATTTGCCTTCTCTTTGTCCCCAGTCACCAACTCTAGATTATTTTGTGAACGGCCTACATTCTCAGACCGGACCTTTTTACTATTAATATATTTGAAGAATTTTTGGGGTTGGTCCTGCTGTCTTTTGCAATCTGTTGTTCATTTTCAATTTTTGCAGCCGTTATTTCCTTTTTGCATATTCTGTTATATTCTTTGTAATGGTTAAATGATAGCGTTCCTTCATTTTTATATTTAATAAAAAAAAATTTCTTATTACCTATAGCTTTTTTAACTTTGGCCGTAAGCCACATAGGTTTGATTTTTAGCCTTTTAAACTTGTTGCCCATGGGAATATATTTTCCAGTGTGTTCACATACAGTCTTTTTGAAGAACTCCTATTTCTATGTTGTGTTCATTGATGCCAATATTCCCTCCCAGTCTAAGTCTTGGAGAGCAGCTCTCAGCCTTGGAAAATTAGATTTTTATTAGATTATTTTACCTTAGCACATGATTCTTGCATCAGTGTTGTAAGGTCTTTTGAATCTAGTTTGAAAATATTCCATTAAGTTAATGAGATTAATTCTCTTTCTAGTCCATTGTCACGAAAATTTAATCTTTTCATTCTATTTTATTTGTGTATTTTTTTTTTTTTTTATACAGAGTTTATCTAAGCACAGTCGAAGCAATATTGGGACAGAAGGAGGACCTCCACCATTTGTGCCTTTTGGGCAGGTAGTATTGTGCTCAATGTTTATCTACCATTAGTAAAGCAACTGCAACACATTCATTGGGGTTTGATTAATAAAAAAAGTCAAGAATTCTCACTAAAATTTGCCTTGCAAATTAAGTTAAATTTGTGCAGCCATTTGCCCAATGAAACTGTATGTATGTTCAATTCTATGTGAATGGGGGTAAAAAGAATGTAAATAGGCTATATCCTGTGCTGTTCAAATGTAAATCATTATTAAAAAGGGGAAAATACCACATTTGACCGTTGTAGAAAACGCCTTTGATACTTAGCTTCATTTATTGGCCAGTTGTAGTACTTTCTGTTTTAGGTTATGTACATTTTAACAGTATAGGATTTAAGCTACAGCACTTTTAATTGTTTATGATCCAGTTCCTCAGAACCATTGTACATGAACTTGTGCTTGTCAAATGGCAATGCAAATGTTTTATAAATCAACCACTAAGTGTGGTATTTTATGCATTAAGGTGCCTTGCGTTAAGGCAGCCCATTTATTTAGATTAGGCTGCCAATGCATGTCAAAGTTGTTACTGCAACACATTGATGCAAAGCCAGCCAGCATTCTTATCGCCTTTAGTGCTACAACCCCAATAAATCAGTTACTGTCATAATATACCTTTATTGCTCTTCGTTTTCAGCAATACAGAGGATGTCTAGGTAAAGTTGAAACAGTCAAAACCAGACAGGCAAACAGAGCATATATTTGTATAGTTGATGTTTCTAGTTTAAAGCTGTGGAGATTAGTGAGTCTTGTCCATATATGTACTTATCAAGCCCTACATTTATTACAGGTACTTATGTAGCGCTGTCAATTTACGCAGCGCTTTATATATATTATTGTACATTCACATCAGGCCCTGACCCTCAAGGGGTGTACAATCTAAGGTCCCTAACTCACATTCATACTTACATATACTAGGGCCAATTTAGACAGGAGCCAATTAACCTACCAGCATGTCTTTGGAGTGTGGGAGGAAACCGAAGTACCCGGAAGTAGTTCTAAAGTCAAAAGGTGTTTTTTTTTAACCTTAATGCGTTACCTACATTAAGGTAAAAAAATTTCACTAGCTGTTTGTCCCCCCCTAAATACTTTCCTGAGTTCTACATCAATCCAGCTCTGTGCCCATCTGTAGCTGCACTGGTCTCTCTCCCTGTTCTCACAGGACAGATTGATAGCCATTGTCTCCTGCTGCTGTCAATCATATACAGTGAGGAGGGAGAGGGGGCATGCCTAAGCTGTGCTGTGTGTGTCTATGGACATATACAGCTCAGCTTGGGAGTGTGCCTGCACATGTGGCCCCATAGCATACAGCTTACTGTGGGGGCACACTCTAGAGGAGGAGTGGAGAGTGCCGGCAGGGGGACCCCAGAAGAGATAAGGGGCTTTAATTTTGCTTGAACCTGTGAGGACAGAAATATGGGAGATTCAGATCCTACATGTATTACACATATATACTGTATGTTATTACATAGGTCCATGACCAATGTAAAAAATGTTATATTGGAAAATGTATCACCAATGATTCAGTATTTAAAATACAGAGCTTGGTTATTTTGTGCCTTTTATATCGGCTTCTTCCACATACATAAAAGTATGTGGAAGGAGCAGATATAAAAGGCACAAAATAACCAAGCTCTGTATTAAATACTGACTCATTGGTGATACATTTTCCAATATAACCGTTTTTACATTGGTCATGGACCTATCACCAATGAGTCAGTATTTAATACAGAGCTTGGTTATTTTGTGCCTTTTATATCTGCTCCTTCCACATACTTTTATGTATGTGGAAGAAGCCGATATAAAAGGCACAAAATAACCAAGCTCTGTATTTTAAATACTGAATCATTGGTGATACATTTTCCAATATAACATTTTTTACATTGGTCATGGACCTATGTAATAACATATATATACCGTATTTTCCGGCGTATACGACGACTGGTCGTATAAGACGACCCCCTACTTTTCCTGTTAAAATATAGGGTTTGAGCTATACTCGCCGTATAAGACTACCCCTCTTCCAACACACACCAAATAAAAATGAAAAAACATCAGATTTGATTTCAATATGGTATGCTATTTCAGTATGGTATTCCAATGATGGGGTGCTATTCCTCCCACTGACACCAATGATGAGGCACTACTCCTCCCACTGACACCAATGATGGGGCACTATTCCTCCCACTGATACCAATGATGGGACACTATTCCTCCCACTGACACCAATGATGGTGCCCCATCATTAGTGTCAGTGTGTAAGGAATAGTGCCCCATTATTGGGAGGAATAGTGCCCCAGTTATTAGGAAATAGTGCCCCATCATTAGTCAGTGGGAGGAATAGTGCCCCATCATTGGTGTCAGTGGGAGGAATAGTGTCCCATCATTAGTGTCAGTGGGAGGAATAGTGTCCCATCATTGGTGTTAGTGGGAGGAATAGTGCTCCTTCATTGGTGTCAGTGGGAGGAATAGCGGCCCATCATTGGTATCAGTGGGAGGAATAGCACCCCATCATTGGTGTCAGTGGGACGAATAGCACCCCATCATTGGTGTCAGTGGGAGGAATAGTGCCCCATCATTGGTGTCAGTGGGAGGAATAGCACCCCATCATTGGTGTCAGTGGGAGGAATAGTGCCCCATCATTGGTATCAGTGGCAGAAATTGCGCCCCATCATTGGTGTCAGTGGGAGGAATAGCGCCCCATCATTGGTATCAGTGGCAGGAATTGCGCCCCATCATTGGTGTCAGTGGGAGGAATAGCGCCCCATCATTGGTGTCAGTGGGAGGAATAGCGCCCCATCATTGGTGTCCGTGAGAGGAATAGTGCCCCATCATTGGTATCAGTGGGGAGAATAGTGCCCCATCATTGGTGTCAGTGGGGAGAATAGTGCCCATCATTGGTGGTGTCAGTGGGGAGAATAGTGCCCCATCATTGGTGTCAGTGGGGAGAATAGTGCCCCATCATTGGTGTCAGTGGGGAGGAGAAGTAGTGCCCCATCGTTGGTATCAGTGGGGAGGAATAGTGCCCCATCATTGGTGTCAGTGGGGAGGAATAGTGCCCCATCGTTGGTGTCAGTGGGGGAGGAATAGTGCCCCATCGTTGGTGTCAGTGGGGGAGGAATAGTGCCCCATCATTGGATATCAGTGGGGAGAATAGTGCCCCATCATTGGTATCAGTGGGGAGGAGGAATAGTGCCCCATCATTGGTATCAGTTGGGAGAACAGTGTCTCATCGTTGGTGTCAGTGGGGGAGAGGAGCGGCTGCTCCTTCTTCCAGTTCGGCCGCTCGATTTTCGCGGGGCTGCTCGGCTCCGCCTCCTTGCCGGTGATTGGTCGCCTGTGTGCCTTTCCAGTGCTGGCGCCCAATCACCGGTGAGGAGGCGGAGCCGAGCGGTCCGCGTGACCATCGAGCGGCCGAACTGAAAGAAGGAGCAGCCGCGCTTCCTGGACCGGATCGTCGTGGGACCGGAGCCAGGTAAGGTACAGCAGCCCCTCTGCCCACCCCTGTACTTAGTGTCCGTTGGAGGAGGAGGGGGGGCGGCGCCGCGCCGCCCCTCGAAAAAGTGCCGCCCTGACACCGGCTTGCACCGGCGTATAAGACGACCCCCCGACTTTTCAGAAGATTTTCAGGGGTTGAAAAGTCGTCTTATACGCTGGAAAATACGGTATATGTGCTATACATGTAGGATCTGCATGGCAGCTAGAAATCAATGTAGTAGCCATCACTAGCACAGTGAGCTCCATAGGCTTTTTAGTCCCATGCTGAGCTACTTCCTGCTGCATTGTGAACACAAGAGGTTGCTAGCTTGGCACAGGCACCACAAAGGGAACACTTTCCATATTCTCAATGAATGCAAAGCATTCTCTGATTTGGGGGAGAGAGAGGAGTAGGACAGTGACATCACAATCTCATTCCTTCCAATCAGGGATCACGTGGCATTCATTGAGAAAATAGAAAGAATTCTCTGAATTGTTCCCATGCCAAGAAAATTACCAACCATTTTCATATTGCAGAAGGGCCGCTGCGCAGCACAGGACCTAGAAACTAGTGGAGATCACTTTAATAGTGGTGTCTACTTCAGTGGTTTCCAGCTTACATTGGGTCCCTCAGATATGGCACATACATACTTTAATTGGTCCAATGTAAAAAATTGTCATGCCTGGAATTCAGCTTTAAATGTATTTTGTTAAATGCAGGCACTGTAAGTACCTGAATCTTATATGATCTCCACCTTTTGCAATCCTATGTCCACCAAAGTTAAGACAACCAAAATAAACCAACAACTCTGAGTGTGCAGACTGGGGCTGGCTATGTCCGTATATATAGCAACAAGAAAAAAATCCTTCCTCTTGGGGAAAAAAAAAAAAGGGTGTGTGCACCTATACAAAAGTATAATGGTACACTGTAAAAGTACTAAGAGACACACCCAGATCGACAAATATTATTGTATATGCCATGATACTTGTGTAGTGGTACAGATATTTTTGATGAGGGAAGCTATTCTCCTGCATGTTTAAGCCTATTAATACCATTTTTATTTAAGATTTCTGTGTGACAGATATCTAGCCCATAGGGTCTGTTACCTGACATAGTAGGTTCTATAAACTGTGTATATACCATAATTGCTGACCGCTGATTTACATGTCTTGTTTCAGCGCCGTGTGTCTGCTACTTCAGTGGACAGCAAAGAACTTGATAGCCGGAAAACGCTGCAAGCCTCCAATGCCACCAAAACTGTGGGCGAAAATGATGAGTTTGAGAAGCAAAGAACAGCTGCTATTGCCGAAGTAGCAAAAAGCAAAGAGGTTTAAGACTTTTTTATCTCTTCATTAATGTCACCCAGTCCTTAGAATTGCAATAATATACTTTTTTGAATTAGTTAATTGTAATCCATCTTCATAATGAATTCTCAATTTATAAGTGCGACACATTTTTATAGATAAACAGATTATTATCTAGCACCTTGACTCCAGTAGTAATAACTAGTTTAATCTCACCTCTGACTGAAAGGCTAATACAATGATGTTTAAGCAAGGACTTGGCCATTTAACACTGTACTAGGTGCTAATAAGTAATACTCCGAATAGTTGGAAATACTTGACCACAATTATGCAACTCTTTGGAAAATGTCTGTAAAATCTGGTCTGTCCTTTCCTTTTTTAATTGGGAAGTGTCCATCACTGAAGAAACAACAGTGGTGCTACAAAGGGCGTGCAGATACACCTCCACTAGTCTTTTTTTGGGAGCCATCTGGACCGCCTGTGATAGGTCTGACTCCTAAAAAGAAAGCAGAGAGAGAGTTTAGGTATTAAAACTTTATTTCAACGTATGATTATTTTTTTAAATAAGTTCTCTGATAAGATGGCAAATAATGTTTTGTCTGAATATTAATGTGGTTATTGATGTATTCACAGTATTCTGTTAATCTCAAATAGTGGGTTATACTACTGCTTTCTTGAGGATATGGGCAATAGCAAAAAAAAATATGCTGTTAGCCCGAGAGTTATAGCCCTTCCCACCCTCTGCATTCTTTAATTGTTTGCTATTGTCCTAGGAGGATTGATATTTTTCTCTGTTGAAAAAAATTTACCCCCTTTTTACTAGCCATTTTGTTTTCTTTATATTTATTATATATATATATATATATATATATATTTTTTTTTTTTTTTTTCAATCAAGAGATCTTCTACATGCTGCTGAGTTGGGCCCTTTGTTCAGCTATCGGCTAAATCTGGGAGTTGCCTTGAGGGCTGTACCCTAACCCTGATGGATGAAAGATTGCAGAGTGTGCCTGGATTGTGACCTTCAAGTTTTGGGGTTTGGAAGTGGCACTTCCAAGACCTTTGAGTATTGTGTGTCCACTGGTCCAGAACCATGGCACAACCTCTGGTGTGATCCAGTCTCTGAGAACTTTTAATGACTACATCATTTGGGCTGAGCAGCTGGAGCTATTTCATTTTTGGTAGTGTTGAACGATATAATTACTTTCCTATAGCATTGGTTACCACAGGAAGGGATAACATGATGTGGAATGTCATGCTGCATCTCCATCTGCCTCCCCTTGTCTCACCATTTTTTCCTTCACTGTAAGATAGCCACCTCTCGTCGTTGCCGCTATCTGCAAGATTAGTCCTTCTGCCACCCAGTTTGTCCTTGCTGCCACCTTCAATGACCAGGTCACATCTAGCCATTAACCTCTTAGCCTGTAGTTTGTTGTGAGTAAATCAAGATTTTTGTCTGGTGTTTTTCACTCAGTTGTCTTAGTACAATATGTTGGATCCCAGGCACTAAGGAGGCATTTCTGCTGCAGCAGGTCGCTACAGCTCTAACATGATGGCAAGAGAGACTGTCCAAACTTTCATTGTATGCTGCCTACTTCAACCTGTTTAAATGGAGAATGCGCCCAAACAATTTTGCAGATCAATGTTGATTTGATGAGGATTTTATAAAAAAGTAAACTTCCCCACTGTGCATACAGCGATATTTCACCCTAACACTGAGTGTACCTCTTGCACTATTGTTTAAGTATCCCACTGCTAAAGGTTGGAAAGTACTTTACAAATCTTTATTGCCACTAACAATGTCTACTATGCAACCTACTCTAGCCATGATGTCAGACTTTCAGGCCTTTAATTGTAAATTGCTTACAGCAGTTACTTTTGGCCCCACATTGCGTTGGTGGCCAAACTTATATTATGCGTTTTATCTGTGGCTAAGATGTTTGTCTGCAAAATACAAATGTAATAGATGCTTGCTGTGATGGTTTTTTGATTGTGAATGTCTTTTTGGTGTTTCCTTGGATAATTTGAAAAAGAACTTTGCTGGTTGTAAGAGTACACATTTACCCCAGTAGAGGAAACTAAGCCTTAAACTGACAAATCTTTTGCTCCTCAAGTCAAAAAAAGATCATTTTGTTTCTCTTCGGCTTTACACTCCAAAAGAGTCCAAGGGAGGGGTTCAGTACAACCTCAAACCCCGGGCCTCTAAATCCTCCAAACCCACAGACAAGCCCTTTTCAGCATAAAGGGACACTTCCACTACTCAAAGTGGGTGTATGTATGTTGGCCTTTGCAGACACCTGGCTAGAAAGCATCTTTGATGTTCGGGTGCAGTGTCCAGGAGCTAGAGTTTGATTCTCTGCATCAGCCTCACTTTCTGTTTTCCAACCTAGCTGTGTATCAACAACAGATAGAAGACCTCCATTCTGCTCTTGCAGACCTTTTGAACCAAGGAATAATTGCAGTTTTACCATTGGAGGAAAGGTTTCCAGGGACTCTACCCCAACCTCCACCAGGTAAACTGTGAACATCAAGACAGCATACTTGCATGTCCGCATTTTTCCAGCACATCATTTTCTACTTTTTGCGGTGGGCACACAACACCTATCATTGTCATCATCATCTGCACCTTGATTGTTCTCCAAGGCTCTGGCACCAGTGCTAGCCTTAATACACTCCCATGGTATTCCCAT